CCCCCCTTACGAGTAACGATGGATACTTACTTGGGTCACCTCCATTGCCAATGATGATGGGATCAGAGTAAACACCTCCTGAATTGGCGTACACAACAGAACTAGGCCGACTTTTGTAGCTAGGAGGGGCCATGATGACAGATCCTCCATAGTACGTATCACGGTCATCCTCCAGGTAGATTCCCTCTACACCCATGTTGATGAGTTGTCGCACCTTGGGGAGAAACATGGAAAAGAGGGCCAGAGTAGCAACGATGAATAAGCCGAAGGCCAGACATGCATCACCAAACTGATGACCGTTATCCAGCTTCTTATTGAGACCGCCAACCAATCCCCACGCGATCCATATCGGGATGGAGAATCCCGCCACGATTCCAATAAACACACTCTCACGGTGATTTGTGATGATTCCGTGGGCACGCATTGCAACAATGGTTGTTATGATGATGAGGAACATTACATAAACAAGAGATAGTAGGTGATTTTCAAACTCGCTGCGTACAAAGTTTTCCATGTCGCCCCAACCGTAATCTACAGACCAGGTGTAATGGTTACAGACCCAGGCCTCCACGCCGCCGTTCGTCATTACCTTCACTGCCTCCGGTGGCACCTGGATCATCCACTGGATGTCAATGACCACCTGGACACCGACTGCGAAAATAAACATCAGGAATTGGTAAATACCCTTCAGATAATTGGGAGATTCCACATCACCTGGAATCAGAGACTCAGACGTTGTCGATGTAAGGATGACCATCAACTTAACCAAAAGTACAGAGTAAATGGTCGCGTATGAAACTCCGATTCCAAACCTGATGATCCCACAGGTAGCATTGGTGGGGATGAAAAGGAAAGCAAAAAGCGTGAGGTAAGACAAGAAGATGCCAAACAGCAACAATTGTCCGAGCCACATGGTCCGCCACTGACGACCAATACGTGTTCCAAGGAGTTTGAAAAGAATGTAGATTTCAAACACGAGGACAGCCACACAGCCCACACCAGCCAGTACTCCTAGGGCAATGATCCATTTCTGTCCAACGTCAAACCTGGTGCCATATTCGTCACCCATACGCATACCACCGGAGAAGACACCAGTAAAGTGTTGACCTGCCATGAACTTTATGAACTTGTACTTGCCGCCCTCAGTGGGATCTGTTGTCGTAATGACAGGAGCAGCAGTGGTGCGGACGGTGGTGGTGCTGGGGACGGGCGGCACTTCCCCGCACACCAGACATGGAGACTCAGGACAGGAGTAGGGCAGGGCTGGCTGGGCAGCCAAATTTAATGGTGTACCAGGTGTATATGTCCCAATCTACAACAGATTGATGAAGTGATAAATGATTTAACTGCCAAACAATACAAGAGGTACAAAAGACATTAGTTATATTCAGATCATGTACAAAACTAGAGAGTGAGGTTTAATACATAGAAAACAAAAAGATGAAAAGCTTTTTGTATGTTTTGGACACCTGAATTGCAAACAAAACATCCTCCGACTTGTACAGATAAAAGCAAACCTTGTTATACTGCCACCATTTTACAGTAAAACCTTGTAATACTAGAACAAAAAAACAGTAAAACCTTGTTATACTAGAAAAATTAAACCTTGTTATACTGTCACCATTATACAGTAAAACCTTGTTATACTGTCACCATTTTACAGTAAATCCTTGTTATACTGCCACTGTTTTACAGTAAAACCTTGTTATACTAGAACAATTAAACCTTGTTATACTGTCACCATTAAACAGTAAAACCTTGTTATACTGTCACCATTATACAGTAAAACCTTGTTATACTGTCACCATTATACAGTAAAACCTTGTTATACTGCCACTGTTTTATAGTAAAACCTTGTTATACTAGAACAATTAAATCTTGTTATACTGTCACCATTATACAGTTAAATCTTGTTATACTCTCACCATTATACAGTAAAACCTTGTTATACTGCCACTGTTTTATAGTAAAATCTTGTTATACTGTCATCATTAAACAGTAAAACCTTGTTATACTGTCACCATTATACAATTAAACCTTGTTATACTGTCACCATTATAAGTTAAACCTTGTTATACTGCCACTGTTTTATAGTAAATCCTTGTTATACTAGAACAATTAAATCTTGTTATACTGTCACCATTATACAATTAAACCTTGTTATACTGTCAACATAATACAGTTAAACCTTATTATACTGCCACCATTATACAGTAAAACCATGTTATACTGCCACCATTATACAGTTAAACCTTGTTATACTGCCACCATTATACAGTAAAACTTTGTAAATGTTATACTGCCACTCTTTTATAGTAAAACCTTGTTATACTAAAACAATTAAACCTTGTTACACTGTCATCATTAAACAGTAAAACCTTGTTATACTAAAACAATTTAACCTTGTTATACTTTCACCATTATACATTAAAACTTTGTTATACTGCCACCATTATACAGTAAACCCTTGTTATACTGTCACCATTAAACAGTAAAACCATGTTATACTGTCACCATTTTACAGTAAAACCTTGTTATACTAGAACAATTAAACATTAAACCTTGTTATACTGCCACCATTATACAATAAAACCTTGTTATACTGTCACCATGAAACAGTAAAACCTTGTTATACTGTCAACATTATACAGTAAAACCTTGTTTTACTGCCACTGTTTTATAGTAAAACCTTGTTATATTGCCACTGTTTTATAGTAAAACCTTGTTATACTAAAACAATTTAACCTTGTTATACTTTCACCATTATACATTAAAACTTTGTTATACTGCCACCATTATACAGTAAAATCATGTTATACTGTCACCATTATACAGTAAATCCATGATATACTGCCACCATTATACAGTAAACCCTTGTTATACTGTCACCATTAAACAGTAAAACCTTGTTATACTGTCAACATTATACAGTAAAACCTTGTTTTACTGCCACTGTTTTATAGTAAAACCTTGTTATATTGCCACTGTTTTATAGTAAAACCTTGTTATACTGCCACTCTTTTATAGTAAAACCTTGTTATACTGCCACTGTTTATAATAAAACCTTGTTATACTAGAACAATTAAACAGTAAACCTTGTTATACTGCCACCATTATCCAGTAAAACCTTGTTATACTGCCACTCTTTTATAGTAAAACCTTGTTATACTAGAACAATTAAATCTTGTTATACTGTCACCATTATACAATTAAACCTTGTTATACTGTCAACATAATACAGTTAAACCTTATTATACTGCCACCATTATACAGTAAAATCATGTTATACTGTCACCATTATACAGTAAATCCATGATATACTGCCACCATTATACAGTAAACCCTTGTTATACTGTCACCATTAAACAGTAAAACCATGTTATACTGTCACCATTATACAGTAAAACTTTGTTATATTGCCACCATTATACAGTAAAACTTTGTTATATTGCCACCATTATACAGTAAAACCTTGTTATACTGATTATACAGTAAAACCTTGTTATACTGCCACCATTATACAGTAAAACCTTGTTATACTGTCACCATTAAACAGTAAAACCTTGTTATACTAAAACAATTTAACCTTGTTATACTTTCACCATTATACAGTAAAACTTTGTTATACTGCCACCATTTATAATAAATCCTTGTTATACTAGAACAATTAAATCTTGTTATACTGTCAGCATTTTACAGTAAAACTTTGTTATACTGCCACCATTTATAATAAATCCTTGTTATACTAGAACAATTAAATCTTGTTATACTGTCACCATTTTACAGTAAAACCATGTTATAATGTCACCATTATACAGTAAAACCTTGTTATACTGCCACTGTTTATAATAAAACCTTGTTATACTAGAACAATTAAACCTTGTTATACTGTCACCATTTTACAGTAAAACTTTGTTATACTGCCACCATTATACAGTAAAACCTTGTTATGCTGTCACCATTAAACAGTAAAACCTTGTTATACTGCCACCATTATACAGTAAAACCTTGTTATACTGTCACCATTAAACAGTAAAACCATGTTATACTGTCACCATTTTACAGTAAAACCATGTTATACTAGAACAATTGAACAGTAAACCATGTTATACTGCCAACATTATACAGTTAAACCTTGTAAATTTAGTTGAAATCTTCTCTGGCATTTAGGAGGAGATGCGTTTTAAAGCAAATTTAGCTAAGTCCCCCTTCAGGGCCCCGCCCCCCTGGCCTCAGTGGTCGAACCAACCTCATTTATTTAAGAAATGATTGCCCTCCGCTAGTGATCCTTCAGACTGAATTTGGTTGAAATCCTTTCTGGGGTTTAGGAGGAGATGTGTTTTAAAGCAAATTTAGCTAAGTTCCCCTTCAGGGTCCTGCCCCCTGGCCTCATGGTCGAACCAACCTCATTTATTTAAGAAATGATTGCCATCTTCTAGTGATGATTCGGACTAAATTTGGTTGAAATCCTCTTTGGCGTTTAGGAGGAGATAGGTTTTAAAGAAAAAGTTGACGACGCCTGACGGACGCTGCACCACGGCATAAGCTCATTAGCCCTTCGGGCAGGTTCATACCAATTGAACAGTAAACCTTGTTATACTGCCACCATTATACAGTAAAATCATGTTATACTGTCACCATTATACAGTAAAACCATGTTATACCGCCACCATTATACAGTAAAATCATGTTATACTGTCACCATTATACAGTAAAACCATGTTATACCGCCACCATTATACAGTAAAATCATGTTATACTGTCACCATTATACAGTAAAACCATGTTATACAGCCACCATTTTACAGTAAAACCTTGTTATACTGTCACCATTTTACAGTAAACCTTGTTATACTAGAACAATTAAACAGTAAAACCTTGTTATACTGCCACCATTATACAGTAAAACCATGTTATACTGCCACCATTATACAGTAAAATCATGTTATACTGTCACCATTATACAGTAAAACCATGTTATACTGCCACCATTATACAGTAAAATCATGTTATACTGTCACCATTATACAGTAAAACCATGTTATACAGCCACCATTTTACAGTAAAACCTTGTTATACTGTCACCATTTTACAGTAAAACCTTGTTATACTAGAACAATTAAACAGTAAACCTTGTTATACTGTCACCATTATACAGTTAAACCTTATCATGCTGCCACCATTATACAGTAAAACTTTGTAATACTGCCACCATTATTCAGTAAAACCATGTTATACTGGCACCATTTTACAGTAAAACCTGTTTATACTGTCACCATTATACAGTAAAACCATGTTATACTGTCACCATTTTACAGTAAAACCATGTTATACTGTCACCATTTTACAGTAAAACCATGTTATACTGCCACCATTATACAGTAAAACCTTGTTATACTGTCACCATTTTACAGTAAAACCTTGTTATACTAGAACAATTAAACAGTAAACCTTGTTATACTGCCACCTTTTTAAATTCCACCATGTCTTACTGCCATGTACAGTTACACTTTGCCACAGTCACTGTTATGGACAGATGGACAAAGCTCCCTTTTTTAAAGCATAAAAAAATGAAAATACGTACCTCTGTGTACCCACTGGCCACTTGGAACTTCAGGATTCTGTAAGAGATGAAATTGTTTGCGAGCTCCTGGCCATTGAAGTATGTCGTTCCCCCTATCCCTCCGTAAATTCTCTGGCCTCTGTTTTCCTGGTTCAGTAAATTTGAACAGAGATCATATTTACCACATGCACTCAAGGCAGCTATCCTCACACCATCAATGATCGACCTGACTGCAAGTATGGTGAAGGGGACATAAACATCGGGTGTATAGCGCCCTGTCAGACTATCGGAGGCCTCGTTACAGGTGCGTACTCCACACTCAAGCTTGTCATTCCAGTAGGACTGGAACCAGGGATTCCAGGTGTTTCCACTTGGTTTTAGATTATTTAGGTACTGGTAGAATTTGGCTAAATCAGTTGTTAGCTGACCGGCTGGTGTGGTTAGAGCAAGCGTGTAGGCGTTGACATACAGATTATCGGTGACAGTGGTATCATCAGCCCACGATGAGGTTCCAATGAAATTGAAATTCTGTACCTTGTTGGCATCTCTCATTTGCATAGCATTCATCAGTTTTCTGGCATTCTCTCCGTCCGAGTAGACAATAACATAGCGTGTGACCTCGCGTAGAAACAGCTCATCAGCAATGGCCTGGAGCTGATCGTCCGTGGCGTGGACTGGCATCTCAGTCTGGTAAACCATGCAGGTTCCTACGAGTTTAGACTTCAAAGCCTCAAACCCGCCACGGCCGTAACCATTGCCCAGATACACACCAAGCACATACTTGATATTCAGACTCTGCAACATCTTGGCAATAATAGTAGCATCATGTTCATCTGAAGGAACAGCTCGCAAGAAAAATGGGTACATGTCCTGATTGTTGAGTTCTGGGGAAGTGGCTGCATGGGATACCTGTGTCTTGTTCATGTCCTTGAGTAGTGTAGCCACAGCCATAGCCTCACTGCTCCTATCTGGTCCAACGTAGGCCAACAGATTACGGGGAGACACCGCATTCAAATTACCAAAGCCAACTTTACAGGTTTCGAAACTTAGAATATTTTCAATGGTTTGTTCTACACGAGAACATGAATCAAGCGCCACTCCTCCAATTGAGACATTCTGATTGGTCCCGAATTCCTTGATGGCCCAATGAAATGCCTCCATATTCAGGAGCCCGCGTTCCCGTAGCGGAGCATTCTGGCAGGAGTAGGCGTCGGCTGCTCGGTCGTGAACCCCAAACAATCCTCCAATATAATAGTGCTGGTTAGGTAGCTGGTTGTTCGTCGGCGTGAGACCAACGTTTGTGTACTGACAGCTGCCACTGGATCCAGACGGGCACGTCAACTGAGCCTGAATCACTGTCAAGCTAGATACCAACACCAGTATCAACATCATAAGTCCTTTGGCCATCTGAAAAATAACAGATGATAAGTATATATAATGTCATACAGAACCACAGCGTAGTCTAATCCACCCATCAGTGTAAAGATATAATGTCATACAGAACCACAGCGAAGTCTTATCCACCCATCATTGTAAATATATAATGTCATACAGCACCACAGCAGTCTAATCCCCCCATCAGTGTAAATATATAATGTAATACAGGACCACAGGGTAGTCTAATCCACCAATCAGTGTAAATATATAATGTCATCCAGAACCATAGGGTAGTCTAATCCACCCATCAGAGTAAATATATAATGTCATACAGAACAACAGCGTAGTCTTATCCACCCGTCAGTGTAAATATATAATGTCACACAGAACCACAGCAGTCTAATCCACCCATCAGTGTAAAGATATAATGTCATACAGAACCACAGGGGAGTCTAATCCACCCATCAGTGTAAAGATATAATGTCATACAGAACCACATCGTAGTCTTATCCACCCATCAGTGTAAATATATTATGTCATTCAGAACCACAGCGTAGTCTTATCCACCCGTCAGTGTAAATATATGATGTCATACAGAACCACAGCGTAATCTTATCCCCCCATCAGTGTAAATATATAATGTCTTACAGAACCACAGCATAGTCTAATCCCCCCATCAGTGTAAATATATAATGTCTTACAGAACCACAGCATAGTCTAATCCCCCCATCAGTGTAAATATATAATGTAATACAGAACCACAGTGTAATCTTATCCACCCATCAGTGTAAATATAAAATGTCATACAGGACCACAGGGTAGTCTAATCCACCAATCAGTGTAAATATATAATGTCATCCAGAACCATAGGGTAGTCTAATCCGCCCATCAGTGTAAATATATAATGTCAGACAGAACCACAGGGAAGTCTAATCCACCCATCAGTGTAAAGATATAATGTCATACAGAACCACATCGGACTCTTATCCACCCATCAGTGTAAATATAAAATGTCATACAGGACCACAGGGTAGTCTAATCCACCCGTAAGTGTAAATATATAATGTCATACAGCACCACAGCAGTCTAATCCCCCCATCAGTGTAAATATATAATGTAATACAGGACCACAGGGTAGTCTAATCCACCCGTCAGTGTAAATATATGATGTCATACAGAACCACAGCGTAATCTTATCCCCCCATCAGTGTAAATATATAATGTAATACAGAACCACAGTGTAATCTTATCCACCCATCAGTGTAAATATATCATGTCATACAGAACCACAGGGTAGACTTATCCACCCATCAGTGTAAATATATTATGTCATTCAGAACCACAGCGTAGTCTTATCTACCCATCATTGTAAATATATAATGTCATACAGCACCACAGCAGTCTAATCCCCCCATCAGTGTAAATATATAATGTCAGACAGAACCACAGGGAAGTCTAATCCACCCGTCAGTGTAAATATCTAATGTCATACAGAACCACAGTGTAGTCTTATCCACCTGTCAGTGTAAATATATAATGTCATACAGCACCACAGCAGTCTAATCCCCCCATCAGTGTAAATATATAATGTCATCCAGAACCATAGGGTAGTCTAATCCACCCATCAGAGTAAATATATAATGTCATACAGAACGACAGGGTAGTCTACTCCACCCATCAGTGTAAATATATGATGTCATACAGAACCACAGCGTAGTCTTATTCACCCATCAGTGTAAAAGTATCAACATCATAAGTCCTTTGGCCATCTGAAAAATAACAGATGATAAGTATATATAATGTCATCCATAATGTCATACAGAACCCCAGCGTAGTCTTATCCACCCATCAGTGTAAATATAAAATGTCATACAGGACCACAGGGTAGTCTAATCCACCCGTAAGTGTAAATATATAATGTCATACAGGACCACATGGTAGTCTAATCCACCCATCAGTGTAAATTTATAATGTCATACAGAACCACAGTGTAGTCTTATCCACCTGTCAGTGTAAATATATAATGTCATCCAGAACCATAGGGTAGTCTAATCCGCCCATCAGTGTAAATATATTATGTCATTCAGAACCACAGCGTAGTCTTATCCACCCATCAGTGTAAATATAAAATGTCATACAGAACCACAGCGTAGTCTAACCCACCCGTCAGTGTAAATATATAATGTCATCCAGAACCATAGGGTAGTCTAATCCACCCATCAGAGTAAATATATAATGTCATACAGAACAACAGCGTAGTCTTATCCACCCGTCAGTGTAAATATATGATGTCATACAGAACCACAGCGTAATCTTATCCCCCCATCAGTGTAAATATATAATGTAATACAGGACCACAGGGTAGTCTAATCCACCAATCAGTGTAAATATATAATGTCACACAGAACCACAGCAGTCTAATCCACCCATCAGTGTAAAGATATAATGTCATACAGAACCACATCGGACTCTTATCCACCCATCAGTGTAAATATATGATGTCCTACAGAACCACAGCGTAGTCTTATTCACCCATCAGTGTAAAAGTATCAACATCATAAGTCCTTTGGCCATCTGAAAAATAACAGATGATAAGTATATATAATGTCATACAGAACCACTGCGTAGTCTTATCCACCCATCAGTGTAAATATAAAATGTCATACAGGACCACAGGGTAGTCTTATCCACCGATCCATGTAAATATATAATGTCATACAGAACAACAGCGTAGTCTTATCCACCCGTCAGTGTAAATATATGATGTCATACAGAACCACAGCGTAATCTTATCCCCCCATCAGTGTAAATATATAATGTCATACAGAACCACAGGGTAGTCTAATCCACCCATATTTGGTTAGAAATATCAGAAGGACAATGTAATTATATATTAGGTAGGTCTAAACAAAGGACCGATTCCCAATCAAAAATGTGTGATTTTTCAGGATGTCCACCTTGAAAAATAGTTCGCTTCTCCAGACAGTGTTCTTATATATTCTGTGTAAATTAACAACGGATAACTCTAACAGCCTTTACTGGAGTACCCTGTATACCTGGAACTCTGATTTATCCCCAACCACTCCAAACCTTAGTATTTCACCCATTCGTGGGACAGGTCGACACACCCGCGTGTATAGCCACATGCCATCACATGCCTCAACACAGGCTACAGTCCACGCTCATTGTGCTTCTACAAGCAGGGATCAATCTAGACTTGATTCACTACCGTTTATGGGTAGTTTCCCTTACAGAGGAAAATTCCCCTGTTCTTTGAAATTCCCCCTATTCAACAAGGAAATAGACGTTTTTTCTTCAAAATATTTCCCCTTTATATGTTTTCTTTAAAGTTCAACAGTTAAAATGCATAATACTGCATATATACATTTTCTTCACTTAATTTAAACAAAAATTCTGCTAAATCGAAATATACTGCACACATGTATATCGGACAAAACATTTATCTTTTACATTCATGACGCTAGAGCCTTGTATCAAAATTTCAATTTCCCCCAAATCTGAAAAAGGGTAATTTCCCCTAAAACGTAGATTGATCCCCGACAGGTGTCGGCCGGAGGTCAGATAAGTAAAGTATTAACGGCAGTACCATTAGGTAGCTGTACCGTTACCCTGTCCTAGCTGCATTATTGTTTTGTGTGCATGATGTTTTGACATCACTGGGTATATAAAACCATATTTCGGCATGGCAATATTAAGCGGAAATCACATAGCGGATTCTCGAAATACGTCATGATTGTTAATTTCGTTGTCAATCAACATTATGATTACAGGGATTCAATAAAAAAAAATATTTTAAAATGGTTGAAGAATTCCTCTCGTTTTGAAATTTGTAAAATTAACCTAGCCGATTTCAGTATGGCGGACTATGTCAAAATGAATTTTATTTCCTTTCTGAATACCGGTGGCTATATGTTTTCATTATACTGCTTTTTTAAATCTTTTTAAATGCTGTCATCATTATTAAACTTCTTTTTTTACTTCTATCATCTACTATCCGCGATATTTACAGTGCTTGTACTGTCTGTCGTCCCACATGATAAAAATAGGACGATGTCGATTGAACCTCGGATTCGTTGAATACCATGTATTCTTCAAACTATTGATCTGGTCCCCACAAGTTCCAGTTTTCTAAAATGATTCTTATGTTGATGAATTTTTCCTTATTTCATTCCAGGGTCTATTTACTGGTATATCAACCTAATGAAGAACCTGCTATGCGCTATTTCATTCTCCATAAAGTTTATCTTAAAAGGCAACAAATTTGTTTCAATAAATAGTAATGATGGTTTTGAGTGACATCGATATTATTTACATCGATATCATAAATTTATTAAATTTTCCCCACAAAAAAATATTTGCAACTTCCTTATCTATTTGAAGAGGAATTTTAGGGGGGGGGGGGGTAAAACAGCTATAAAATGTTGTAACATGTACATCAGTCGGCTGCTGATCTGGACGAGCCGTAACCCTAAACGTTTAACAGGAATCATTCAGGTGTGTCTACATGTATACTAATATCACTGACAGGGGTCCGTGACAACTCCCTAGTTATACTAGTTGTAAATTATTGACAGATTTGTGTACTGTTTTTTTAATTAATGCTAAATGGGATGTTTTTAAATGATTTGCAAATAAACAATATGAATAATCAGCGGTACGAAGTCGTGAACATTTTCAGTGCATATTATGGAAGGTGTGAATGCTCGTTGGTCGATATGTGATATTTATACTACAGTTAAACATTGAAACGATATAATTTAATTATTCGTGGTGACATTCTTTAGTTTGAAAATAATCATGACATAAATTCTGCGATTTCTGTTTCACAAGAAAACGAAATAAACACATGAAAACCAGTTATTTTTACATAGAACAATTTCCTGATTTTCTAATTATTATAAATATTAAACTAATCATATTATTACTATCTATCGGTAACAGATCTAAAACTAACCTTTGTGTAGACACGTTCGTACACTGAAACGTCCCGTCACCCCCGGGATCAGTTGCAGTAGCCTCTGATGTTTTCTCCGTGTAAACACACCTGTGTGCCGAAAACTCGTTTACTTGTGTTCTTCAGCCCAACCCAGAGCAGTGTGTTCGGCTAAATATAGCATTCATTCAACTCGTCTTGTCTACCTGTATAGTTGGGAGCCCGACAAACTGGTCTGACGACTTCGCAGCTATAAATAGATTTTACCTGTACAACGTATACAGGCTTGTCTATGAAACCGGCCGGTGGGACGGGATTATTACCACGTATAACTCATGTATTTATTGAATGTATCAATTAATCCATATCGCTGTAAATTTTAGATATAAAAATACGTATGTTATATTCTGTAATAAATGAGTTTATGAAATTAGCGCCAGTCACCCCTCGCTCCAATAAACACGTTTCTTTGCTAAGTTCACGGCAATGTTATGCAAATAATCATGTTAATTGAACCCTACACCCCATAAAATATTTCTCAGTAAAAACGAGCTTTCTCTACCAAAATGTACGTTTCCATATTTCGGCAATCATTCCTCAATGTTGTAAATTACAATTTATAAAATTGTAACTCGTGTTGTATTCTCCTTTGCCGAATACTTCAAATCAAGTTGATCAATATAAGTATAGTTAGCTTACTCAATGAGAAACCTACTGTTCCTGTTCAGTTGGAAGCAAACTTAACTTTTTTTAAGGTTTAATTATCAAATTTATTTAGGAGCATATTAAGTGGCTAATAAAAAAGACTCTTAATTAATTAGTTGTAAACTCTAAAATGTTCACATATATTGTCAGGAAAGACCTCCTTTTTATTATTTTAATTTTTCAAAGGTATTTCTGGTAAAATATGCATACATAGATACAATTTTTTTCCATACTCCCTTACACCCATACACACGCTCACTGCATTCACATATACTCACTCATCATTTCATAATGTTTTGTTATCATCATCATCATCATCACCCCGATATCTTTATCATGACATTGACATCATCCTCATCAGTAAAATCGTCATCATAATCATGACTGAAATCAACATCATTCTCACAATAATATCATCATCACCACTCTGTTGTCGTCATCATCAAACTGATATCATTATCATCATCATATATTTACATTCTTAATGTTTGTTCTGTACATGAATCTACCAACTGAAAACAACTGCCATTAGACCATGAATACACTATGAATACAACGATTCTCAGCTGATTTCACACACAATGACCACTTCATATTACTATCATTAAGAATTTTATGATAAAAGTGCTAAATTTTAACTTTAATTATTCATTATATTCGTTATTTGGCGTATTTTAAACTACCAACTTTTTAACTTTCATTTGATTTATTCCATCGTGTGACATAAATATAATTAATATCCTGGAACTATTTTGTGCAAATTGTTTCTCCTTGTCTTGTGTCAAATTAAATAAGTTCTATTCATGATTTTTTTTTTGAAGTCGACATGCATAATTCTTTAACACTTTTCACTTAATTCTATTACGTAACGGGATTACTGGTATTACCAGATCTGACCCTGCATTCAGTTTCAGACAAAGGACGGCTAAATTGGCATACCTGGTCGGGTACGGCCTGGGTCTGAAAGGCCGATTGCTATGATGTCACTCAAAAACTAATTACTTAATTGCCATTGTGTAACGTACTTAGGACATGATTACGATTTGTAACTTCAGTTAGGACCTAGGCATCGGACTGTACGGGTGTGTTTTTGGATACTCCAGAAATACTCCAACGACCTAGAGAAAGTTATTCTAATAAATTTATATTGGACCATACAATATCTCCAGAACTTTTACTTTTCAAATTAGATAACAGTGTTGTTATATTACTACGCATAGACCTGTTTCTGAGAAGAGTTATTTCCCCTTCTCCGAGATAACGTAGTTGCTATAGTTAACATTACAAAAAACATAAATGGTGCACCATGGTACGATTATTATTATTCTTTCTAATTAAAAAAAAACACACAAAAAAACACAAAAAAACACTTATAGCACTGTCATATTAAATACGGACTCCACTCGCAATCAGTGCCTCGTGGTCACAAACTTTTTAACAACCAACCGTCCGGCTCGGTAATCCTCGAGACATCAACATTAAACTCAGAGAACTTTGTAATGACACAGGGCACATCATCCACCAGCCTATCATCATTTACATCTGCAGGTTTTTTTGGTGAACAGCACATTCAACGGCCGTACCTGTTCGGCCGACGAGTGACCTTGATGGTTACTATGGTGACCAATGATTTGAAATAGTGCGGACATAAACTTTTTTAAATATATAATATGCGGTGTTTATATGCAAAGTAAAACAACATCCAATAAGATCAACTGTCAAAAATGAAAGGAATATTAAGTGTTGATTATTATTAGATTCTAGATAAAAAAAAATCGTTTTAACAAAATCAGCTGATCGGCGGAAGAAACAGAACATTTGAAGTTTTTGTGTAGGCTGGAGTTCTGGCTGTTCCTTTTTATGGTTTTCTGTCCGATACTTATATTAAAAATATCAATTTTACAAAAAGTGTGGTAACTTTTTTTTATTGTAGACTAGTTCATTGTAACATAAATATATGAATTGAATAGATTTTTTTCATGTACATTGCGGCAATGAATAGCAGTAGCTGATCTACCAATCTAATTAAAATCAGATCTCTCATTACACTCCTTTATGCATAACGTAGTGTAATGAGAGATATGATTGTAATTAGATTGAGGATATGTAGATAAGCTACTGCTATTCATTGCTGCAATGTACATGATAAAGATCCATCCTCATCATTACCCAGACATTTTTATCATGACATTGACATAATCTTCATCATAGTTATCCTCATTATACTCTCACCAATTTCATCAACAAGACACTAAAATCGTCATCATCATCATCATCATCATCATCATCATCATCGTCAGCATCATCGTCATCATCATCATCATCATCATCATCAGCATCATCATCATCATCATCATCATCATAATATCATCATCATCATCATCATCATCATCGTCATAATCACACTGATTTCATCATTATCACACTCATGCCATCATCAACCTCTAACTGATATCATCTTAATCGTAACTAACACACTGATATATTCATCATGATACAAACTAGTTATCACATTGATGTCGTCATCATCATAATAAGCAAAAATACCAATTTTATTCACATGTGAGTGTTAATTTGCAAAAGCATATCATATTCTCTCTCTCACACCTTTCATACTTTCTCTCGTTTATTGGCTCTTTTGATATACATTCTTAACAATTTAAATGTCTTCTGATGTACAGATGTATTATAGAAAGAAGAGGGAAAGGAAAAGAAAGGAAACTTTGATACAGTCAATTAAGGGTATATAAGGATAGTTTATACATTTTATTTCATGTTGTTGAGAGAGATGTCTTTTAATAGCAGATAGCAGACCTTGGTACTGAAGAGAGTTTGTTTCAATTTAAAAAAAAATGTCTAAATTCTTGTAACGTATAAAACAAGTTTGTACTATTATCCTTAAATAGGTCATTCACTATTACTACTCCTTTACTGAACCAGTTTCTATAAAAAATACTCTTATGATTTATTATAAACAATTTATTATACCTGATAGGCATTTTGGAAAAGGAGTTATCTCCCTTGCAATAACCATCTCTTACTATTACTAACTTTTTCCATGCATTAAACACGTCTTTCCAAATAAGATTTTTACTCGTCATTTCACATTTAACAATACATTCGGTCCCACAGTTTGCTAAAATGTTTAAATCAATATAAGTTTTCTCCTGCCATTTACCTGATGTTGTAAATAGTCTCCTTATCCATGTAAATTTTCAGGATTCTATGAACCACATCACATGCATCATTTACAATCCACCATCAATATAGTCTCTTATAACAATGACTCTTTTGGTTTTGTAAACTTCGCTTTTCCATAAGAAGTAAAATAGTTCGGTGTTTAATTTTTTAATAAAACATTCATTTGGGTTTGGTAATGCAATAAATAAGTGATTGAGTTGTGAGATGAGTAGTGATTTGATGATATAAATTCTACCAATTGGCGTTATTATTCTCCTATTCCATGTATTTATAAGTGCCATTATTTTTACTAACTTTTTTTCATAATTTAGCCTAGTAATTTTATGCAAGTCTACATGAAATTCTATGCCCGAAAGATTAAAAGCTTTATTTCCCCACCGTAATTTCCATTCTGGATAAAGTACTTCCTCACTATGCTTTTTACTTCCTATCCATATAACCTGAGATTTTAATATATTTATTTTCAACCCAGAAATGTTTGCAAAATTATTTGACTCACCAACTGCTTCTTTTAAGGAAATGTTTGTACCATCTAAAATCAACGAGGTATCATCAGCATACTGAGATACTAAAATGGGACAGTCATTTATATTGATCCCCCTTACTTTTTTATTGTTTCTAATTCTTATCGCTAATATCTCTACACACATTATAAATATATGTATAGCGCAATAGGGTCTCCTTGACGACAGCGTTTTCTTATTTAAAAATATTCTGATTAATTCCCCCCCCCCCCCCCTGATTTATTGAAGAAACTGCATTTTTATGTAAAACTTTTATCCTTGATCGATAGTAGAAGACCTATATCTTGGATCGATAGTGGAATTATGTACACTTGGTAATAGATTTTATGATATGAGAAAAAAGTCTAAACGTGCCTGTTTGGTAGGATTACATCTTCTCCAAGTATATCTTTTTTGCTCAGGATGTTGTTCTCTATTAATATCTACCATTCCAAAATCTGCAATTATTTCATTTAGTTTGTCTCTAGCTTTAGGGTTGTAAATATGTTTATAACTTTTATCATAGTCTTTTTCAGGACTAAGCACTAAATTAAAATCTCCACATATTATAAAATATTCATTATTAAAATCACTAATAGTTTCTACCGGTATTATATTGCCATAGAAAGTAGGTGTGTCAGAGTTTGGTCCTTACCTTCTATTTGTAATTGCAAAGCTAAAATATTTCCCGTCGAGTCTTTCTTTTCCTTGGTTACTTTCACTTCAAAATTATTGTTAAATAATACTAAAACACCCCTTGAATTTGATCGCAGTGAATT